GAACAAGTCACAAAACTTGAGAGTACGGTCAAGAAATTTAATACTCCGCACAAAGATTTAAATTTGCTCCTTGACACCATGCATTTTTCTAAGGAAGGAATAGGTTTCAATAAAAATGACGCTAAGGTTAAAGAAAACGTTGAGCCACCACCTAGACAACCATCTAAGGTTCAACGTAAGAAACCTAAAAATCAGGATAATAGAAAACCTAGTCAACCTAAGGACACTAGACAACCTAGACTAAAACCTAGGAATGAAAATGTTCATGGTAGACAACCTAAGAAAAATAATTTTGTGCATAATAATAATTTTTCTCAAAATAGGAGAAATAATATGAGAACACCTAGAAATGGTTCTTTTGAAAACGTGCATAAACCATCCTTTTCTCAAAATAGGATGAATATGGTTAGACCCCCTAGCTATTATCAACCTAGGCATATGTTCAACCCAAACGTAGTATGCCATTATTGCAATAGGGTAGGACATATAGCTCCCGTGTGTTTTACCAAACATAGGCACTCCACCTATAATGAAACACACAACATTTTTGGTGCTAACGAAAAGAAATCCTTTAGAAAGGATATTCGTATCATAGGCAATCTCCACAGGAAAGTGCACAAAAGAAACCGTATTATTTCTTCTACTTTGACGAAAAGAAGAAAGTCCACATTCCGTTACCGGAACCAACACAAATCATACCGAGATATCGGCACTCCGTTCAGGTAGACTGGAACCCGCCAACCACGAGATCATGGGTTGGCCAAGGTAATTCTTAAACGATCATCTAATCGGGTGTGTGTGTGCGTGTAAGGAAATGAATTTTTGGGTGTGTGTGTTAACTAACCCCAAGGACCCATATACATACTTTGGGTACCAAAGTGTTATTTTTTGCAGGGACAGTTCGAAGTGAAAAATTCTGGAAATCAGGGGGAACCAGCGATGGGTGGGTTATACCATCGCTGGGAGGGAAGTCTTCATTTTTCCAGAACCCCTCTTCCCATCGATGGGTACTTTCTCCCATCGATGGGTAATTGACTCTTTTTTTTTAAAAAAAAAACTTTTAATGGATTTCCAGAAATCCTTTACCCATCGATGGGTATTTTATCCCATCGCTGGGTGAATGACTTATGTTTCAAAATTTTTTCCCAGAACCTCCGCTCCCATCGATGGGAACTTTCTCCCATCGCTGGGTGCTTGACACTATTTTTTAAAAGGTTCTTAACGCATTTCTAGAAGCCACCTTCCCATCGATGGATAAATTCAAACATCGCTGGGAAGGCAAACTTGATTTTCTTCTCGCTCTCCAGTAGCGACTCTCCCATCGATGGGTAGTTCGTACCATCGCTGGGAAGGCAGTTGAAATTCAAAATTTATGGCCGTTGGGCACCGAATTTAATGCCCAACAGCCATATTTTTTAAATTCACACGATTTCATCTTCCTCTCCCTATATATTCACACCATCCCTTACCTTCTTAACCCACAATTAACATCTTAATTTCTTTCCTTTAGCCTATTATACTCATTCCATCAATCTTTCGTCCAAAACGCTTCAATCATGACCGGAGGAAAGAAGAGAAAAGCTTCAAAGAAGAAGGCCAACACCGACGCCACGACCTCTTCTTTATTTTCTCCTTATTAAATATGATTGTATTTTTATCCGTTGTATTCCACATTTCCCTTTTAATGAATAAAAGTTTACCTTTAATTCTTTTTGTTAATGTCAAAAGGGGGAAGATATAAAGGTTATGCATAGGTTGAGGGGGAACTTTTTCTAAAACTAACTCTTATTCAACACATAAACTTTGTTGAAAAGAAAATCGCATTTATTAAGGGGGAACATTTTTTAAGTCTGAAATCAATCCTCCTATGCATAACCCCGTCTTGTTTGCCATTATCAAAAAGGGGGAAATTGTTGAAACACGGGTTTAATGTGTTTTCGTACTTAAGCCGTGTTCGTTTTTATGACAGATTTTGATAATGCCAAACCGCCGTGAATGAGACAAGTTGTTGAATATACAAGGCGAGAAATAAATATAAGAGGAAAGCAAGAGAACAAGAGCTAAAAGAGATCAAGAACGAAGACCGTAGTCTTTAGCATCGTTGAGTCGGTCACAATGTGATCAAGACCGACCCAAGCTTTGCACTTTTGCTCTTTAGGCTAAAACATTTTTTATTGCATTTTACATATCATCAAAATTATTCTAAAACATGCTTAAACATATTAAAAACACTTGGTGTTCGCCCAAACCAAAAACCAAGCCATCCGGCGTTCGGCTTTCGGAAACCGGCATTCGGCATTCGGTTATCGGCGTTGGTTTTTGGCGTCCGAACCAACCAAGTGGTTTTCAACTTTTTATGATTGGTTTTTACTTCTGGGCACATTTAAATAGTTTTCCATCAAAAACTCTTCAAAAACCACCTTTCGTTTTTTGTCGTTTGCTAAAAACCACGCGAAACGGCATAAACTTGGCTAGCCGCAGTTTTTACTTAAATGAAGTGGTTTTCGAGTCTTTTTGTGTGGAAAGTGTTTTTGAATGCATTTAAATGGTTCTCCAATCAAAACATCAAGAAAACCACCTTTCGGTTTTGTCTTTTAGTAAAAACCACCCGTGTACGGCATTGACTTGGTCAACTATGGTTTTTACCTTAAAAACGTGGTTTTCAACTTACAAAGCTTGTTTTGACATCACAATGCATTAAATAAGTGTTTTAAATACTTAGTTTTTACTTTGGAGGACTTTGCATTTTTCGGTCGGGTTTCAGCACCGGTCGGCTAAGCCATGGTTCTGGACTAGCCATCTACCCAGCGATGGTAGATTTCACCCATGCATGGGTAAGTGATCCCGGGATTCCAGAATCATGCCACCCAGCGATGGGAAGATCTTCCCATCGATGGGTAAGCAGTCCCTTAGCCAAACCAATTTCCAGAATCATGCCAAACAGCGATGGGAAGTTCTACCCATCG